GGGGGGGGGGAGGGGGGGTCGGCTGGGTCCTCCATCGCCCCTGGGCAGGTCTGGGAGGCTCCCCTCCCCCATGGAAAGGCCTCTACGTGGCTGGGCAGGCGTGTGCTCCCCGGGTCAGCGTGAGCCCGCCCCATGCGGGAAAGGCGATGGCATGGTCCCGTGAGACAACTGTGCTGGAGAGGGAGGTCCCCCCCCCACTGGGTGCAGGACGCCCCACATTTCACGGGGATTGACGGGAAGGTTAGAACACGGCTGCCTCCATGCCCCGTCTACATGTCCCCTGCAGTCTGGCCGCTGGTGCCCCCGTGGACAGTGCGGTGCTGGGACTGAACGTGTGGGCAGAGGGAGGTGCAGGTCCGGAAGGCCCTCGGCTGGGCCCGCTGGTGTCCCTGGGGGGCAGGCGGGTCGGTTTTGCCGTCACCGCAGCGGAGTGAGGCGTGCTCGGTGCGGGAGCTCTGAGCAGCGGGTGTCCTCTGGCTCCCGCCACCCCACCGCCTCTGGTCCCCAGGGGTCCAGCCTATGCTTGTCAATCCCTCAGCGGCGAAGGCACTGGGCGGCCGGGGCTGGGGACGGTGGGGCTGCCGTGGGTCCCCTGGGACAGATGGACGGACGGACCCACGGGAAGAAAGCGACCGGCGCGCTTGCCCGGGGAATGCCTCCCGGAGGACAGGGTCACCGTACGGAGCCCCCAGTGTGCAGCAGGCCTGGCCAGTACAGGCAGGATGGCCCCCTGGACCACTGGACACACAGCCACGTCTTAAAGGGCCCTGGCTGGAGAAAGGCGTCACAAACCCCGCGATGAGGCCTCGAGCCCAGGCCCCAGGTCAATGCCCTCGGACGGCATCGACCTCCGATCCTGGCACCCCCCCACTGCCAGGCCGCAGCCCAGAAGGCAGCCTCAGGCACGTCCTCTGTTAGCGACTGAGGTTTAAACTGCCATGACCAGGAGCGGCGTCGACAGGGGCTGGCTCCCTAAGTGGCAGCCGTCTCCTGAAGGGAAGCAGCAGCAGAGGGTTTGGCGTGTGACTGCTCTCGCCCACGGAGCGCGAAGACCCACAGGAGACACGTCCGCGGGAGCAACCGGGGCCTGAGCTGCACGCACACGTCCACGGGACGACGCAAACACCCGTGACACACGGACTCCCGCAGCACACGCCTGGGGTCGCAGCCAGGCCTGTCCGCTCAGGCCCCGTGGGAGGTGCATCGGCCTAACCCTCCCACGGGTAACGCGTCAGCCTCTGCCTTCCCAGGGGCGGGAAGCCCAAGGTCACCGCAACCCGTGGCCCTTTAAAAGCACCAGCTCGCCCGGCTGGCCTGGCTCAGGGGGTGAGCATCGACCTAGGAACCAGGAGGTCACGGTTCCGACTCCGTCAGGGCACAGGCCCGGGTTGCGGGTTCCGTCCCCAGTGGGGGGCGTGCAGGAGGCAACCGGTCCATGGTTCTCTCTCGTCATGGATGTTTCTCTCTCCCTCTCCCTTCCTCTCTGAAACAAATACAAATATATTTAAAAAAAATAAAAAACAATAATAAAAGCACATGTGGCTTTAAAAGCCAAGTGAACGTCAATGCTCCCCACTTTCCAACGTCCATCGATGGGGTGACGTGTCTGACTGGTGATGCTGCTGCCATGGCGACAGTCACACAGCTCGCGAAGGACAGAGGGTGGGAGCCCCAAGCGCAGGGGCCGCGTCCGGGCCGCGAGTTACGGGGGACCAGGGCGCCTGCAGGAAACCAGGTCCCCGAGAACCCGAGAAGCGCCCCAGCCCCGGGACCGCCGTGGAGGACCAAGGCCCGGTCTCCTGACTGTCGGCCCGGACGGCAGGGGACACAGGCGAGGGGGGGACGCGC